TTATAATCTTATGGTTTTGATTAGAATTCACAGTGACTTAATGAATCAAAAGAACAACCATTTATAAATTAAATATGCAAAAAAAATCATGATGTGTGACATGTTCAATTGTAACAAGAGACATAAAGTGCTTGGTGTCTCTGTAGAGGCTGTGACTTCGCTTTAATGTCCTACCTAAGTTGTGTGAGAGTTTGTTTTTTGTTTTTTGTTTAATTAAGGTGCAAAGTACAGGACCCTCTAATTGCTGAGTGTAGGATTATTTGCAGTCAACACAGAGGCTGAAACAGTCAATCATTTCATTAGAACTCTGACATTTCTTAAGTTATTGTAGTATTGATTGGTGTGTTTACCTTTTAGCTTGGCTTCTTTTTTTAATATTTCACTAGAGAACTGATTTTGATAAATGTGCTAGTCTTACTTTAACTAAAACTGTTCTTGGGTACATGGAACTGTATCAAAAGCTGTTCAGCACAGAGTCATGGTACAGCTGCTGGAGACAATTGACAGAGGGCAGGTTTAGCCCAGATACAGGGAGGAAATTCTTCCCTGTGAGGGACAGGAGGCCCTGGCACAGGTGCCCAGAGCAGCTGTGGCTGCCCCTGGATCCCTGGCAGTGCCCAGGGCCGGGCTGGATGGGATTGGAGCAGCTGGGACAGTGGGAGGTGTCCCTGCCATGGCAGGGGTGGAATGAGATGGGCTTTAAAATCCCTTCCAACCCAAACCATTCTGTCACTGTGGGATTTACAAAGGAAAATCATGCTAGAAGATTGAATTTTTTTTTCTGTTTTTTCCTCCCAGGATTGTTCAGTGACTGTTTGGGAATAAACAAAACATATGCTTAACTTCTGGCCACAGACCTTTAAATATGGGAATATTGGCCTAGGTACTAGAAGAGATGAGATGATCACTCAGGTAGTTCTGCCCATATCTTTGTTGTACTACTGATCAGTGCAGCTATCAGGTAAACATTTGTGGCCCTTCAGAAGTATCAACAAAGTGAAAATAAAACCCTTCTCAGAGTATCTGTGTTGTCCTTTAAGATCAGCTGGACCAAGTCTGGAGCTTGTGGGATCCCTGCAGTTCCTGTGGCCACTGGCAGCTGTTGGCACGGACCCACAGGCTTGGCTCAGGCTGGCTCTGAGCCCTGCAGGGCTGGGCAGGTGTGCACCTGTGTGCCTTGGGGTGCAGGGGGTCTGTGCAGTGCCTGGCAGTGTCACCATCCCCTGCTGCTGGAAATGAGCCCCATCACGGCCACTGGTGATAGGGCCAGGTGTTCCAGCTGAGGATCTGCCCCTACCCGTGTCCTGCTTTAAATGGAAATCCAGCAGGAAAGATTTGCTGCACAGGTGGTTTCTGAGACATTCAACTAATGCTGTTTGCCAGTGTGTGAAATGGATGGGCCTGTATTATTTGCAGTACCCAGCATTTATCTTCAGGCTCTCCAGTGTTAATTAAAAATACTTATTTCCACTCAGTGGAATATTAATAATGCTGTGACTTAGTGCTTGTAAAATGTTTCAAATGTTAAAAATGCATTGAAATAGGAACTGGATATTGCTTTTAGGATCTTCACAAGAGAGCCATATAGCTTGTAGGTATTACATATATTTTACAGGAAAGAACAGTAGGTGAGTGTGGGAACTCAGCACATCACCCCTGATGTCCAGAGTTGCCAAGGTAACCCCTGGGGGGCTCGGAAATCCTGGAATGTTGCCAGAAGTGCTTGGTGGTTGGATTTTGACCCTGCACGGGATGTGCCACCTATATGAGGACAAGAAGATCACTTGGGGATAAGTGGTGAAGGAATTGATTATTCACAGGGTGAAAACACAGGTTTTGGGATCTTGGTACAGGGGGGGTTTTAGGAGACAAGATGGAGGAATTAGGTCGTGTCTTGTCCTTCTCCTCTTCTTGTCATCCATCTTTGGTGGTGATGCTGGCACTTTGGGATTGGTTCACATTAAATGTGCACTTGTTAATAAGGTATTGGAAGGTAAAGGTCAATATCTTATATGTAGTTTTTAGTATAAAAATAGACAACTCCCAGAAGGAGGTCAGTGTGCCCATGGCTGTCTTGCTGGGCAGACCTCTGTCAGGCTGGGAGACAACTTTGTAGATAAGAATTAATAAACAATATTGAAGACTGAAAAATCTGAAGAGTGCACTCGTCCTTTGGAGCGTGGGCTGTCCCAGGGCCATCCTGCACCTGACTGGGCAGAGACAACAGGCCGAGAACGGAGAGGTGAGTGCAGGGTAACTGAAAGGCTCAACTGCCTGATTTTAAAAATCCATACCCAGAATAATGTGCATAATTTTCCTAGCCCTTTTCCTAATTCAGTCACTCTGTGCAAGAAGGCACTGTTTCAGCATAGGTGTGTTTGTTTGAAGTACAGCAGTCACCAGAAGGATTTGATTGCCAATCAGATACAGAGGATTTCAGGTCCAGACGTGTGGGTTCCATCAGTGGGGAGTGGGACAGCTGCACCCTGCTGGGTGTGGAGGGGCTCAGGTCACCTGTGCCAGCAGTTCAATGGGCACCTGTCAAACATTACATTGCTATTTTTGGTTATTCTGGAGTGGAACCGTCTGGTGTAGCTGTGGGGCTGTGCTGTCACATCCGGGTGCAGTGAGAGTCTGCAGGGAGCACCCACCCACCCACAGGGGACTGCAGCTCCCCAGGGGCTGGGGGCTTCACCTGGGAGAGGCAGGAGGAGGCAGCTTGGGGCTGCTGGTGTTCCAGAGTGTTCCCACAGGAGACTCAGTAGCCAGCTGTTCCCCTGGCTGCAAAAGACTGCACATGGTTTAGAAGCCTTTGTAAGTAGGATTTATCCAAACAGCAGAGTGGGGTTTTTGATGTTTAAGTTTCTTCAGGGAAGAATGAGAGTCTGCAGTAATGAGGTTACCTGCAGTCTGGACTTCCCATATTCTACAGCCTGAAGCTGCATTTACAGTGCATTTGTAGTGTGTTTTATTTCTTAGAGAAATCATGAGCTGAAGAATAACTTCATGTATAGTTAGATTTGCTTTCTAGACATTATGTTAAGAATTTGAAAATAAAGTATTTTTGTCTTGTTCACTGTTCAATATTTTATGTCACTTGCTGCCTGAGGTTATTTCAGAATAGCTGCTTCAAAGGTTTAGGTTAGCTGAAAGCCAGTTTTATCATTAGTGGCCACCTTTGAAGTTACAGATTACCAGGGAATTTGAAAAATATCCCAGTATTTTACAATGATTTTGTCTTTATAGAAAAATAGGCTCTAAATATAAAACTTTCAAAGGATATGCCAGTGCAGTTTGTAATCTGAAAATGCACAGGCATAAGCTGAGTTGTATCCACTGAGTTTTTCCTGGCCCTGTTTACCTGGCAGTTCAGAAGGGATCATTTTGTTGTTAAGGTTGACAAGAGCTTGCAAAGCGTAATAGAGGAGTCATTATTTACTTTGGTTCCTGTGCAAGCCTTGGTACCAGAAATGATGGCATTGCTGTGGAACAAAAGTGAGTATCCACCTCCAGGGATTCCTTGAAGGTTTTAAGGTGAAGTTCAGACCTTTCTCCAAGGCCTGGTTTTGATCATCTATTCCCTGCAAAGGCTATAGCCAGCTCAGAGACAGAAGTCATAGGAGATTTTCTAAATCTCCCTGAAAATGCTAGTTCAGTTTTTAAAGTAGTTTTTCCTTTCAGTTGATGCAGAATGTGCCAATAATTTCAAGGCATTTATGACATTGCACATTCCATTTTAATGTAAGAGTTCTTTTCTTGCCACCTCTACCCTTAGTTTTAATATTGAGCATATTGTCCTGTTCACAGGTTTCTTTAGTAAGGGAAGAACTCTGCTTGAAGTATGAGACATAGATAATAAGCTTGTACTCTTGGTATAATGAGCTTGTACTCATGATATTACTACTTCCATAATAATTTAAATGTTATTTATAGAATAACACAGGCATATCCATAATAAAGACTTCTGGTGTTTGGTAGGTGCTGTGGTCATTGTTGATAGCTATTGCTTAGCATTTATGAGAGCCTGGTTCTCTGTGCTGTAAATGTCATGTGTGCTGGCTGTGTGTAAACACCACTGTTTGTGGTTCCTTCCTTTAGGCCAGGGCAGTCCAAGGCAGTCAGCAGTGATAGCTTGCTTTAGGCAAGCAAAGTTCATCACACATTTTGTATTTTCATGTTGTTTCTGTACTAACAGGAAAAAAAAAATCCCAACCACCTAGTAGGCACAGAAATATTATGGTGATGTTGCAGGGAAAAAAGGCTGAGTGAAGGGTGAAGTACACTTTTCAACTAGGTAACCATGATAGAAGCACTTTGCTTTAGGGGGAAATAAAAAAATTCAAATTGTTTACAAAGCAAAACCGGTTCTCTTCAGACCTCTCAAATATCTCAAGAGCTCAGTCTTCTGGATGCTGAGGCTGAATGTGCTGTGGAATGAAGAGATTGCCCTTTCATGGGCAGTGTTTGCATTGCACCAGCTTGGACATTTTGCAACTCAGCCATTCTGTTTTACAGAAGGAAAATGGACACTACAGACAAAAGCATAACCACACTGCCTTGTGGGCACCTGAATTTATACACTGTTTGTAGACAGAGAGCATTATTTTTCACATGAATAGGGTGTTAATGGATTGCCATAAATATTACTGTTGTCATTGTTGTTATTACTGTTATTAATCATCATCATCATCGTCACTATCATCATAATTCTGTTCATGTTGTTGATTACACTGGGAGTATTACAGCAATTCAGAGGTTAAGAAGTGTTTATTTTGTTCCTGTATACTGCTTCTAAAGCACACGTTTTGATTCAGTTTAACATCACAAATTGGCATTCTGTGAACATTGTGGTACTGGCTCTTGAAATGTATGAAAAATTTGAAAAGTCCTCCAGCACGTGTGATTTACCAAATGCTCTGATGCACTGGGGACAAAAGGATGTGCTTGCTGAGGGGTCCCAGACAGCACTGATTGTTTTCTGTCCCTCTCATTGCAGACTGACAAGGCAGAGAGGAGCAATGCCCTGAATGTTGCCATTGACAGTATGTGCAAGAGGACCAGAGACCTCCGCAGGCAGGTGAGACCTGGCAAATGAAAGGTACAAAAAGCTCTTGAGGCATTCTTTTCCAATTTGCTATTTTCAGTTTATGTGTTTTGAAAAGAATATTTTCTTTTCCATAATAAAAACATATTGAAGACAATTGCACATTCCACAGAATATTTATCTACCAGTTTTCAAAACTCTGGCAGAAAACCCTGCCAAATGATCCTGGCTGAATATATCTGTATATATGCATGTCTAAATAAATTTGCTGTAGATATATATCAGCAATGTACTCTAGCCATTAAGGTTTGTTTAATTTTCAATAAGCTTGAATTATTACAGGTTGTTGGAACAGACAGGGTCTTTACAGCTGTGAGAACTCTCACTCCACAGGAGGGTCCCTGGAATGCCCAGTCCACACTCTACCCCCCATTTTACATCCCAGTGTCCAAAAACCAGTGTGAGATGTGGACCAGTGAAGGGTAGAAGGTTAGCAGTGGACATCAGCTGTGTTTATACCCTTTCTCTGTAATAAATATCTTTGAGAAAACTGCAGAACATGCTGGGTGTGTATAATGTGCCCTTTCAAAAAGAAAACCCCTAGAAAGTCAGTAGTTCTTTGAGCCAGGCTGCCCCAACCAAGTGCATGAAAGTTTACAAAGAACACAAGCACGCCTCTCTCAGCCTGTCTGCAGCCTGGGCTGATGATCATCTCCCTGGTGGAAGACTGTCCCTCCCAGCTTTGGGTTCAGTCTTGCAAGCCAGCCTGTGCTTCAAGATGGGGAATCAATTCCTTCCTGCTCCCATAATCAGCCAGAGGAGGCCTTGAAAAACGAGAAGAGTATAATATAAATACAGTGTTTACAACCAAGTAGCCATCCACTGTCTGCTTACATTCTGTCGAAGATGTGTTCAGTGCAGAGACCTGCATCACCAGCTCAGTGTGTCTACAGCCCTTCCATTCATTTCCTTCCATGAGTTAATTAAACTCCAGCTTAAAACACTTTATTGACTCTGTTACAGTGGTTAAAAGCTGTTAACTGATTCAATTTGTGTCTTTCTGTAAACCTTTGGAAAATGTTCAGGCTGAATGTAATCATGCCCAATTTATAGTCAATCTAGAACCAGTAATTTCCTTTTACCAGAACAGCTCTGTGCTGCTGGACATTTTTTTCCACTGGAAAGCATTTATGAGAAATATTTTATATCTTTCCTCCAATTCTATGTTCATACATATGAATTGTATAAGAATTGTTTTAGGAAGAGTGTTTACTGCATGCCTAATTCCTGTTCTGGGAGACATGAAATTGTGAATTTTGTGCTTGCAGATATTGCAGTAGAGTCTTATTTGCTTTCACATGCAGACATTCATTACGCTGTCTCCCAGCAATTTTACAAGAAACATGCAAGGTGTTGTTTGCTCTACTCTTGCAGCTTTCCTAATGCTGTATTTTTAATGGTATTGTGTACCTTTGCTGGCTTTGTGTCAGGCACTCTCAGTGCTTTCAGGGCTGTGCTCTGAAGTGTACTTTGCTTTCAGTCCTCACTGGGAATGCCTCTGCAAAATTTGGGTTAAAGATGAGACCTTATAAAGCTGTAGTTTTAAAATCTCTGCAGTAGTGCCCCATCAGAGAGGTGCTGTCCCAGGCAGCAGCCTGGCTGTGGTGGTGCCAGGGGCCCTTTGGAGCACATTTGCACGTCCCAGCAAGGGGAGTGAAGCAAGGCTGAAGGCTAAAGTGGCTGTCCCCAGCACAGGATCTGCTGGGAGCTGTAGAAACTCTCCAGCTTTTCAAGGGAACATACTTGACTCATTTCAGGAGCTTGGCCAGTACTTGTGGGGGTTCTAAGCTGCTCAGCTTTGTTTTGATTTGTACCTGTGCTGGAGATGTGTCACTTCTGCATGTGCAGCTTCACCTGGATCACTGCTTCCCTGCTGAGGAGAGCTTACAAATATTTAGGATGGAATTGCCTATCCATTCCAATGTGTAATTATGTGAAATTACCATACTCAGTTCTTGCCTCCCAGTTCGTTCCCAGTGCAGCATGAATGGACTGCACAGATGTTTCTCCTGCGCTTGTTCTGCAGTTCTGGTTTAATAAATGTTGTTCCTGGTGATATTCTTGTATTTTTATGTAACTTCTTCATCATGGGTAGCTGTTTCTGGACACAAAGGACATGGCCTTCCTGGCTCCCCTTTGGAAGGGGAAGGGGAGATCCCTCAGCAGTAACTGCTCTGAGCTTTGCCCAGGACTTCTGCCAGGGTAGTCTAGTAAGGCAAGAGGTGAGTAGAGGCAAACAGAGTTTTCTGTGCTCATCAGTACTGATGGTGAATAGTGTTGCAAACAGCTGCTGGCATTTTTTTCTCTACCCTCACTGTTTTTGACAACCTTATGCCCCATGTTTTATAAATGATGTATTCCTGTGTTATTTTTTAATGCATTTGGATATCAAAACCAAAAATTGGCCATGCTTCTGTAACAGTCTGCTCAAAGGGTAAGACCTTGCATCTTAAGAAGAAAACAGTTTGTCAGACATCACCCTCCCCCTCCTTTCCCTCTTCTACTTGTGTCTCTTTCACTTAAAAAACACGAGAAGTTTAATTATAGCACCCTAACTTCCCTAGCATTGCGTGCTGGCACTACTGGTGTCTTCCTTTGTTCATCTGCCTCCCTTCTGCCTGCTTAGCTTTCAGCATTTTGCCCTACAGGTGGCCAGAGTCAGAAACAGACTTACTGAGTCATGGAAGAGATGCTCGTTAGAATTAGCATGAAAAGAAATAGATATTGCCTCAGATATTCCTTTTTTATTTTGTCTTTTCCTTTTTTCTTCTATGTTGTATTTCTTTGTTCTTTAATGCCACACAAGCCATCCTTTGCAACTCTCAGCTTTGTGTATTCCTCTGCAGAACAGCAACAGGAACATAATTTCAGACTTGTTTGTGTTCAGCAAAGACACAGCATTATCTTTGTTTTTTGAAGAAGATGCAATTTGCTGTGTAATTGCAGGGTAGAGCATTTCTTAGAACGAAACAGTAATGATAATTTCTGTGTGAAAGGTTAATTAAGCCAAGAAAACCAGTGAAAAGCTGTAGCAAAGACTTATGCAGTGAGAGATAAAATTAGGCTGCTGGTTTGAAATTGGGTGTCTCAAGCTCACCACAAATGTGCCTGAGGTTGTTGTAGTGACAGAGTGCTAAGGCTGTGACAGTCCTGCACTCTGGGCTGTACAGAACTCCAGAATATTTCTGCTGGAGATAATCAGTCATTGGCCATGGATATGATGGTTCCACTTGTTGTTGTTGTTTTTTGTAAATTGAAATCTTAATTTTTAAATTCTTCAAGGTCACATTTATGTACCTAATTTTAAACAGGCAAGAATATCTGTTTTCTTCAGTGGAGCCTTTACAACAGAGAAGTCTTAGTGGGTAACTTGGCAGGACTGGAGGTTTGATGTATTTTATTTCTGGTAGTGAAACTTTCTAAAATAGTTTTTTAGTGTTTAATTTCAGCCTGAATGAAGCTGAGAGTGTAAGAAATCCTATTTTGTGTTGGAATCCCACAGCCTCTGTATTTGTAAATTACTTTGGAGAACATACAGTGTATCCAGAGAGTATATCCTAATGTGATGGGCTACCGTAGGTTAGACAAAGAAACCATTCCAAACATGGATTGCCTGTGTTTGTTTGGAAGGTTTGTGTCCCTCTGGTGACTCAAGGAGAGCTGACTTTCAGTGAGGCTATCCAAAAGTTAGTGGTGGAATTCATATTCAGATCTTGTCTCATAATCAGCAGATTTCTCCACTGTTCTTTCTGCTCTGCATGGTCACTGCTCTACCTCAAACACAGCAGAGCATCAAAAAGATTGTGGGTTTTTTTTGTATTTTTCTCGTGGTAGGAGTTTTTACTTCTACTGAGTTTTCACAGAGATACATTGGAGCAAAACGCCAAGTGAAAACGGTACTGTGGCAACAGTGTGATGAGCTTAAAAACATTTAGTGTCCTTTTCTGTTCCAATCAATATCTTTTCTATATATTGTAAAAACACTGGATTTGGAGTGGGAAATTCAGTGCATTTGATAATTAAGCTGCATTTCATGTATTGTTCCAGTTGGTATGTTTGCTGCACTGCTGCATGGTCTAAATGAACAGCTGTCATGTGTAGGTAACATGCAAAATAACCTCTTAAGTAAGAAATGTCCAGTGATTGGTTACAAGCTGCTGTGAAGCTAAGTTAAGACACGTAATTTATAGCAGAATGTTATACTTCTTGAATAATTTAAGTTAGAAGTTCAAGAACAATTAATTTAAGCAGAGAAAATTGAACTCCAGCCTCATTTATAGATCTTCTTGCTCTATTAATACATTATCAGGTGGCACAATCAGTAATCTCATTGACATAATTACCATGAAGGCTGCCATTCTGCAAACCAGGCTGTGTTTCCCAGAAAGAAAATACTTGGGTAATTTTGCAATTATGAAATCATGGGATGTAGCTATTTTGTGAGTACAAACATGATTGAATTAATATTTTCTTTGTAAAATTAAATAGCCTTCTCCCTTGGCATCTGAATTACAAGGGAGAATACCCAGGAGAGATGAGGTCTGGGCTAACTAATTTTTCACATGTGCAATCACTTAAGTAGCCTATTCATCAGGGAAGGGGAATATTTGTTTGGCTCCCTTGATTTCAAGAGAACAGTATATGATGTAGTGTTTTATGTATCTGTACAAACACTTACAAACAGGCATATTTACCTAGTGGCATATTAATGTTTTCCTTAGAATTAAATCCAGTTTTCTGTGTTTAATCCATGAATTGTAGCTGCCACAGGTTTCAGCCCCATGGTGTAAATAATGCATGAATACAGCGTGGATGTGTCTGTGGAACAAACAGGAAGGGACAATAATTCCAGCAGACTTTAATGGATGCTCAGTTAGCAGGTACTGATGTACTGCTTTCTTTTACAGCTCAGGAAAGCCATTATAGATCACATCTCAGACTCCTTCTTAGACACCACTGTTCCTCTGCTGGTTCTCATTGAAGCTGCTAAAAATGGAAGAGAGAAAGAAATAAAGGAATATGCTGCTATATTTCGAGAACATACCAGCAGGCTTGTGGAGGTATGTTGGATGGAATTGCACTTGTTTGGAATAAATGGTGTAAGGGATTTGCCACTGAACACTCCCTTTGCTGGCAGATATCCAAAAATGTTTAAGGCTGGCATTTCGGGAAGGAATAAATAAGTGGCCTTGGGTAATAGTAAATGTACTCCATTTTCTTATAATGGTATGTAGTAAGACAGAGTGCTTTGTCCTTGCATAGCATTTCATTGCACAGAAATTAGATGGTGTGGAATTGTAATTTGAGAAATCAGTGTAAGCCTTTCCACCAAGGTGTACAGTGGGAATTTGACTAAATGTGTGTTTGTGGGAGTATTAGCTCACAGTGTTCAGATCCTGCTGCCCAGAGAGCAGGAGGCACTGTGTTAGTTGTGGGCCAGCTTTCTCCCTTGGAAAGTCTGTGACCTGTGATCTGCTGAAGGGGAACTGGGCTCTGACAGGAGCCAGGAGCTCGCTGCACAACCATTGAATATTCTGGCTTGGAAAGGACCCCCAGGAACAACTGAGCCCAGCTCCTGCCTGCACGCTGAATGAATCCCCTGCACACATTGGAGACTCAGCATTCATTTCTGAAGGATCTGCTTCCTTATTGCTTACAAATGATACTTCTCCAGCACTAAGAGATTTGCAGATACAGCTGGGAGGAGATTTTCATTTGTTGGACAATCAGTCCTGCAAATGTGACTAAATATACACTGACCTAAACTCATTTGAACTGGAGCTTGGAACACTGCTGGAATACTAAAGTCAAAAATTCACAGCAGCATCATCTCAAGTGCATGGAAGGAATGCATTAGTAATTTTTGTGGGGTTTTTTAGCTTCTGGTGCTTTCGTGTGCAGTAATGCAAAGATGGGAAAAAAATCAATGAATTCACTCTGCAGATGAAAATTTACTTAGGAAAACTATTTGGCTCAGAATTAATAATTAATCTTGAGTGACCTAGAGATAATGAAAGAAGAGTAGGTAAAGAGCTAAAGTAAAAATAGGGTATTGCATTTACGTTTCTCTTCATGGCCATGTGATTACATAATAAGAAAAGTTGCTATTTTTGACTTACAAGAGATCCGATTTTGACCATGCTGCAAAATCGAATGACAGCTGAAACACGAAATCAAAGTTGCAGGCTTTTCTGATTTTTAGTACTGAAGCTAAACCATCCTGAAGTGACTTCATTTTCAGAAAGAACTGGTGATCACTGAAGACCAAATAACGTGACAGAATTTCTGAGTCCAGCTGAAATACTCAAATCCTAATTCATTTTAGAAGACCTAAGCATAAAATCCAGTATTAGTTTTCTTTCATGGGTTTGAATTTGTGTCCCAAATGCAGGAGCTAGCTGGCCATGAGTGTGGGTGTGTGGTTGGAGAGACTGATGGCTGCACAGATTCACTGCCTGGAAAATCCACAGCCTGATCTTGCTGCATGTGTGAATGCACAGGGTGTGTGTACGTATTTATATTTATGCTGTGACTCAGTGTGCTGCCTACAGTGAAGAAAACTTACTTCTAAAGAGAGACCTTACACAGTGCCACCTCCTATTGTTGAATTAGTTTTTCCAAATGTCACTTTACTGGGGGTTATATCATGGGCTGCTATTCAAATTAACTACAATTTTGCTTTATGTTATCTTCTGGATATCTAGTAGAACTAAGTATCTTACTTCAAAGATGCTTACATTGTTTTAATGCCCTTACCAGTATCTCTAAGCAAGAGCTTGATTGATGGCTTTTTGATAAGCTGTATATATCAACTGCTAAACTCTCCAGCAAATTAGTTAGGTGGTAGTTGTACTGCATGCATCAACTGTGAGCCTATCCGAGGTAAAACAGAACAAAAATGAGAAATACCTATCAGCTAATCAAGTGGCCACAAAAGGGTTTTGTGGAGATAAACAGATTTATCTAATTTTTAAGAAAAATTCAGTAATTTCTGACAGCATCATGTAAGTGAGAGATATATGGTAGCTCTCTGTAAAATGTGGAGTTGGATGACAGGTGAATCCAAGAGCCAATCCAGTACAAAATTCCCATAACTTAGGAGGAAGTTGCCAAGCATTATTGTATTTTATTAGGAGGTTCTTAAATGAGAGCTATGAGCTGCATGTTTGCAGGGGAGCCTCACATTCTATCCTTGCTTGTTTATTTCCTGCACTGGCAGAACAGCCAACAAACAAATCCTCTTACAGCTTGGATGTTCTGGAATACAACTCCAAAAGCCAGTCAGTTGTGCTATTGCAGGAATGGGCTTCATCTCTGCTACTGAAAATAAATTTAAGTACTGAAATGTCAGATCATGGGTGGCATGTACCTGGCTATGGAATACTAAGAGACAATAGGTGTAGTTAAAACATTTTAAAAGGTAAACAACTAAGAAAAAAGGCCCAGAACAGTAACTGTACCAGAGAAGGCTGGTGCTGGGGGAGATGAGACATCAGGCTTTAGAAATACAGCAATGAGAGCAGTTTTACCATCTAGGTGTAGTTGTGACATCCAGGCAGTTGGGTGGCTTGTGGGCACCAGCTGATAGAGCAAAGGCCAGTGATGCAGAAAGACTGTGCATATTCTTAAATACACAATGCCTTGTTTAGCAGATTAAAAAAGGTGGTTTTTTCTCTTGTCAGGTACAAGTAGCCTTTGTGGGGCATGCCCAACACAGCACAGCTGCTGCAAGCTTTGAGAGGTGGAAACCAGCTCAGATGCTGGCAATCCCTAGGTTTTGTCTAGAGGAACAAAAGCTAAGGAAAAAACCCTGTTTGCATTCTCAGTGTGCATTTTTGCCTGTAAAGGGCTCCAGGTGTGGGTCTGAGCCCACTGTAAACCTCTGGCATCTTGAGCATCCTGTGCTAAAGACTTTCACATCCTGACTACCCCCAGATATGATCTTTTCTTTTGCTGTCTATGAATTCTGGTATCATAAGAGAAAATGAACACCAGTCCCTTTTTTTCCTTCTCCATGCCACTTATTCTTTCATTTTTTATTGTTTTCAAGGTATTTCTGGTCTTTTAAAAATGTCCTTATTTGGAAGCGACAAAAAGATCCACTTGCTCCTTTCCCTGTACCTTTTTCAGCACCTTGCAGCCCATGAGGTGGAAGGGCAGAACTGTGCATGCTAATCAATACAGTCAAGATATTTTATAGAATCACAGGAACTGTTGGTTATTTCCTCACAAAATACTCACTTTTGATCTCTCTAGACTGAATTTCATCACTGCTGCCATTTAGTCATCTGGTACCATTGCATCCTTTTGCAAATCCTCATTAGTTATTTTATTTACTGCTCCAAATAACCTGTTAAAATATGTGTAAACAAAATTTATAAGAAGTTAATACAGAAACGGCAGAAATTCCTGGCTCACAGCTTTCTGCAAATTTCCTGCTGATTTGTTCCTGGGGCTGAAACAAGTGATGCTAATCTGTCTGCATTTGTTGGTTATTCAGCCCCCCTAATTCTTGGAGGAGTCTGGCATCCCCATGCCTGGATCTCATACTCAGTACAATCAGTAGTCCAAATCTTTCATTCTTCCATTGCTTTCATGTATGAAAACAGCGGTGTCCCTTCCTGTTTATTTTAACATTGCTCTTCTAAAAGAGATTTATAGCATAAGGAAGATTTATGACTATTTCCTTTCCATTTAAAAAAGGTAACTTCTTGCACTCAAAGATACATGCTATGAAATTACCTGTGTAATGAAAAGTTTAATTCTCTCCAAATTAAGGAAAAAGTGGTTTTAAAAAAATGTAGGTTATCTTGAATCCAGTCATGAGTTGAACTTCAGTGAGTCTCCTCTTACAAAAAACAGCACTCAGCTCTATCCTGTCAGGCAGTGTTCCAGCTGAACATGTTCCACACACTTGCCAGGCTTCAGAGCAGTTGTTGAGCTGGACTGATGATGTTAGTGTTGCACCAAAGTTGAATTTGATAATAGTAATTTGAAAGGGAAGGCAGAACAACATGTCAAAAGAGAGGATATTGCATTCTCAAAATAATCAGCGAGCAATAATTTGAATCAGCACCGTGGTATTGCTTACTCTCCTATATCCTTTGTTAATGTTGTTCTGTGGCTCAGTTATAAATATTCTGTTGTGGCCATATTGATTAAACCATCAGTGTTTAATTTTCCTGTCACAATATTTCACTTGATTGCAGAAATTGGTGAAAAAAGTTTCTGAATCTAGACCACAAAGGGTCAAAACCAACCCGGTCACTGCTCTGCTCTGCTGTGCCCAGCTGCGAGCAGCGAGGTGTCTGCAGCGTGGGGAGGGAGGGAATGAATGGGCTGAGATTCCTGTCTGTCAGCCTGTTATAAGAAGCTTGACTAGGCCAATATTCAAGCAGCAATCAATTTATTA